TAGCAGCCCACTTTAACCACTGCACCACCAGGGCTCTTATTTGTATTACTGTTGTTGTGTGCTGTTGATTTTGCATCATAGTGACCCTATGTGACAGAGTAGAACTGCCCCGCAGGGTTTCCTAGGCTGTAATTTTTATGGGAGCAGATTGCCAGGTCTTTCTCCTGATTTGTATCACTAGCACGATTTTATTCTACATTATTTGCAAATGTATTGTTTTCAGTGGTTGCAGTGTGCTCCCATCTACGGGACGGTGCTGTGGTTTGCGTAACCATTCCTCAGCCTTTCCATATTTAGGTCAGCCAGTCTCTAAACATACTTTGGGAACACAGCCCACTTACAACAGGAGGGCTGTCCGTTCGCATGGGTGTACTGAGTGTAGTATTTTATGCACCTATCTACATGTTGCGATCCTTTGTCCTAGACACTTGATTTCTTGTTTGGAACATTCTGGGGTGGCCGTAAAGCCTTTGGGCTGTCACGCTTTCTTCTGAAGTTCCCTGTCTCTCTCTTTTTTTTTCCCAAGATAAATAATATTTTAATGGAATATTTATTAAAAAATTAAAATTAATGCAAACATTCACAATGAACAAAGTATCAAAATTGTAACTAAAGGTAGGATCTGACAGGGATAGGGTTAGGGCCAGGGTGGTAAATTGAGTAGTGCAAGTTCCTGTCTCTTGATGGCACCACCACTCAAGTAAATCCTCAGCACCGGAGCCTCTCCGCAGCCTGGCTCAGCCTGCCCATTCTGTCTCTGTGAGAGCCCTTGAATACACACCCCGCTCCCCATCCGCACCCCCTTAGCCCAGGCAGACCTCTGCAGTGGCCTCCTAGCTGCCCTCTGCCTCCAGGAGTGCCCCCTCGAGTCCATCCTCTCCAGAGCGCCTCCTGAAACTTGGTTGTGCCTCTCCCGTGATGGCTCTCCTTGTCATTGGATCAGGCCATTGGAGGCCCTGTCCCCTGACTACATTTTGGTCCCCTGTGGATATTTTAGTATCAGAAATATTTACATTTTCACTTAGTGTTTTTTTCTTATTCTTAAAATAATAGATAACCATTATTGAGCACTTACTTTGTGACAGGCGCTATGTTGGGTGCTTTATGCTAAGTACTTTAAATGAGTTAGCTCATTCAATCCACACAGAACTTAGGAAGTAGGTACTGTAATCAACCCCATTTTACAGATGAGGAAGCTGAGGCACAGAGACTTTAAATAACTTGCTCAAGGCTACCCAGCTAGTAAATGGCAGAGTCAGGCTCACACTCAAGCACACAGCTCTGAACCTGTGGTCTCAGCCATGATCTTCTGTTTCCCACTTGGTATTGGCCACGAGGAGGCTACTCCCCAGATTTGCCAGCATCTTCTGTCAGAGGGACAGGGTTGCATGGCATGTACTTTAGGTTCTAATTTCACCCTTCATCTCTTATCTTCTGCCCTCATTTCCCTGGCTACCAGAGCAGGACCCCCAGCCTAGGGCCTGTGAGTGGTAGGAGTGTGCTGGGTCTTTAAACACAGGTGTTAATTGATGAAATTAATTGGTAGTTATAGCAGATGTTCAGAAAGCATCACACATCCCCATCTCCAGTAATTACCTGCCAGAAGACACTTAGCATTCACAAAATGATCTCTTCCTTCGTTGAATCTTTTTATATTTTTGGCCTAATTGAATGACCTCTTGGGCTACCCAGGAGATCAGAAAACATTCCAAGTTACAGAGTTTCTGTTCTGATTCAGCTCTTTTCTTCCTCTGGCATACTAGAAGAACTGGGATGTTGGGTTCTAGGATCTAGGTTCAAGTTTTGACTGTCACTTCAACTCAGGGCTTCAAACTGGTTCATTCCGGTTCAAACCCCTGCTGAGAATTTGTGTTTCTAACAAGTTCCCAGGTGATGCTAATGCTGCTGGTTAGGGACCACTTCTGAGAACCACTAGTAGAGCAGTAGTTCTCAAAATTTATTATACATAAGAATCACCTGGGGATCTTGTTAAATTGTAGATTCTGACTCAGGATATCTAGGGGTGGAAATGCAAATTCTCAGCAGGGGTTTGAACTGGACCGAACTGGTTCAAAGACCTGCTTCAAATTGAGAGGCCTTGGGTTAATTGCTTTCCACTCTAATCTTCAGTTTCCTCATCTGTGAGATGGAGATTATCAGTTTATGTCAAGGTTTATTAAGATCAAATGAGATAAATATGTGTCAGCACTTTGTCTCTGCTGTTAGAGATTATGCTAGATTTTATCTCATCCTTGTTAACTAAATAGTGTTATCTTTATAAAATGTGTACTCCTGTAGAGGATACACCAGTTCTTCAGTCATTTCCATTGGCCATCTCTGGGCCTTCCCCTAACTGGTTATGCCACTTGTTCATTCACTCACTTATTCATTTAACAAAATTAGTTGTTGTAAGCTGCTGGCAAGTCTATTTTTAGTGGCCCTGTGTGTTACAGAGTGAATTGCTCCATAGGGTTTTTTTTTGGCTGTAATCTTAATGGAAGGAGATTGCCAGGCCTTTTCTTCCAAGGTGCAACTGGTGGGTTCTGAAGTACCATTAGTGGATTCTGCGGTACCACTGGTGGGTTCCAATCACCAGCCTTTGGAGCCTTTAAACACAGTTGTTAATTGCTGAAGTTAATTGGTAATCATAGCAGCGAAAATCATTTGTGCCACCTGGGGACCTTTTACAAACTCTACTGAGCTCCAGTAATTGTTAGCCACCGTGTTAGCTGCTGGGGAGACAGGAATATGGGAAGACAGTCCTGTCCACTGTCTAGCAGGGGAAACAGGCGATTGCAGAGGTGAGGGCACAGAATTGTGGGTGCTCAGAAGAGGGGTGCCTCACCTAGCCTGGGGAGGTGGGAAGCTGCTCAGAGGAGATGATGCCTGAGCTGAACTCTGAAGCTTCATAAAGAGTGTGCTAAGTAGATAAGACAAGAGCATGCTTTGTGCGGAGGGGCGGGATGGCGAAGCAGGTAGGTGAGGGAGGGAGCAATGTGTTTGATGAGTGCAGGTGAGCCAGACTGGAGAGTAAGTGTGGGAGTTTTGAAGGAATGAGGTTGGCAAAGTAGGCAGGCCTCCTTTAGCCATGGAGAGCTGGGGCTGCATGGAGGACGGGCAAGAGGGAACTAGACTGGGGGAGGTTAGGGCTGCGCTTATTGGAGTTTATTTCGGTTTGATTTGCACTAGTTGTGCTCTGGGAGAAGAGGCCTGAGGTGCCCAGCCCCCACCAGGAGCTAGTTCACCAGGCTCTCCCTGCGTGGCTGAGGTGGCCCTGTGCCGTTAAGGTTCACATCCCAGGAAATATTTGTGAGTTCAGCCAGCTCCTCGGAGCAGAGTTCAGTCGCAACTCTGTCTCCACAGAGAGGAGGGAGGCCCCGGGTTAGATGAGGTACAAAATCCGCTAACAGGAAGGAGGAGTGGGCAACAAAAACCTTAGAAAGCCGCCTCACATGCAGAGACGGCTGCGGAATGTAACACCTGGCACGGGCTGCATCCACGGCCGCCTCCAGCTCTGACACACACACACACAGCTGTGAGCCCAGGAAGTGTGGCTGGTCAAAAACACTGCAAAACAGAACTTTTCTGCGCTCTGGAATAGGCCAGCGTCAGAGGAGACAACGAAAGAAGGAAGAGTTTTTGCTGGGAAGAGGCACCTGCTTTCTTCTTCCTGGTATTAGAGCTTTCCAGCGAGGCCTTCCTCTCACTCAAGTTTCTTTGAAGAAGGCCTGACCAGTTCTCAGCTGCCTGCAGTGAGCATTCCTGCCAGTAGGTGGCAGCAGGACTCCACATGAGAGGTGCCCAGCCCATCTTTGCTGCCCATAACCACACCATACTTTTTGGGACTGGGTCCGCTGTCTCATCGTGAAGGACCTTCTGTGTGTGTGTGTGTGTGTTTGGGGAGGGTAGGAATGAATCAGACATGGGTCCTGCCCATGGGGAAATCAAAACAGGCAGAGACAAATTACCAGGTTATAAAGCACAATAAAATGAATACTGAGATTTGGGAAGCAGGGTAAAGAAAAGAACAGAGGGTAGCAGGATTCAGACAGACCTGGGTTCTGATCCTGACACTGCCCCTTACTAGCTGAATGACCTTGGGCATGTTGCTTAACTTAAAAAAGAGCAACAGCTACATTAGCTAACATTTGTATGGTTTATATGGTGTTCCCTTTGGCCAAGCACTGTTCTAGGTGAGTATATATATGTATGCATAAGCATGGAGCCCTGGTGGCACCATGGTTAAGAGCTCGGCTGCTAACCAAAAGGTCAGCAGTTTGAATCTGCCAGCTGCTCTTTGGAAGCCTTATGGAGCAGTTCTACTCTGTCTTATAGGGTCGCTATGAGTCAGAATGGACTCAACAGCAACGGGTTTGGTTGTTTTGGTTTTTTTATGTATATATATAGTACATAATATGCATGTGTATATATATACATACATATGTACGCACACACACACGTATACATATATATGGAGCCCTATTGGCGCAGTGGTTAAGGCACTTAGCTGCTAACCAAAAGGTCAGCGGTTTGAGCCCACCAGCTGCTCCAAGGGAGAAAGATATGGCAGTCTGCTTCTGTAGAGATTTATGGCCTTGGAAGTCCTATGGGGCAGTTCTGCTCTGTCCTGTAGGGTCACTGTGAGTTGGAATCGACTTGATGGCAGTGTGTGTGTATGTGTGTGTATTTGTTGTTGTTTAATCCTCAACAACCATTGAGGTAGGTATAGTTATATCCCCATTTTACAGATGAGGAAATGAAGGTGTAAAGAAGCTAAAATTCTTTTTCAAGGTCATGCAGCTAGTGGATGGCAGAGCCAGAGTCAACCCCGGGCAAGGAAGTTGCTCCTCTTTGAGATAATGTATAGGAGGTACCCAGCACTGTGGCTGATGCCAGAAGGAAGCCTTTTATTATAAGCAGCTGTTAGTCATTAATGACAAATTAGAGTTCTGTGCGCTGATTCCTTAATCAATGTCACTCATTCTCCATCTCTCTGGTAGGTTTGGGCACGTGAGCGTGGCACACCTCCTCCTGGATCATGGGGCTGACGTCAATGCCCAAAACCGGCTAGGGGCCAGCGTGCTCACGGTGGCCTCTAGGGGTGGCCACCTGGGCGTGGTGAAGCTGCTTCTGGAAGCCAGTGCCTTCGTGGACCCCTCTGGCGAGCAGCTGAGGGCAGGGGGCAGCAGGGATGAGCTGCTGGACATCACAGCCCTGATGGCTGCCATCCAACATGGGCACGAGGCCGTGGTGCGTCTGCTGATGGAGTGGGGGGCAGACCCCAACCGTGTGGCTCGGACCGTGGGCTGGAGCCCGCTGATGCTAGCGGCGCTCGGTGGGAAGCTCGGCGTGGCCCAGCAGCTAGTGGAGAAGGGGGCCAACCTGGACCACCTCAGTGTGCTGGAGAAGACTGCCTTCGAGATAGCGCTGGACTGCAAGCACAGGGACCTTGCAGACTACCTGGACCCACTGACTACTGTCAGACCCAAGACAGGTCAGGCCGTCCCATGTGCTCTCTCCACCTGGCTTTGCCCCGAAATTGTGTATAAATGGTTAAAGCCAAGGACTGCCCAACTGGAAGGACCCACAGAATCAGAGTGCAGCACCGTAGGCCAGTGGGTCTTAAGATGTGGTATGCATTAGAATCACTTGGGGTGCTTATCGAATGCAGGTTCCTGGCCTAACCTCCAGGGAGCCTGTTTCATAGCTCTGGGGAAGAACCTAGAAACCTATCTAACAAGGACCCTTGACCCTAATTGGATGGTTCTGATGCTGGTTGTCCTGGGATCCCTCTAGAACAGGGGTCAGCAGACTTTTTCTATAAAGGGCCAGGTAGTAAATATTTCAGGCTCTGTGGGCCATATAGGCTCTTTTGCAACTATTCCACTCCGTTAGAGCAAAAGCAGCTGTAGACAAATGGCCGTGGCTCTGCTCCAATAAAGCTACTTCCACAAAGAGGTGGTGGGACAGATGTGGCCCACAGATCATAGTTTGCCAGCCCCTGCTCTAGACCAATGTGCCTAAACTCATCTGCCAGGGATCAGTCGCCAAATATACATCAAATTCAACCCCCTTTTGAGGTTTTTTAAACACCTATTAGCATGTCCTGTTTCTGTATACATTTTGCCATCTATCTGTCATTTAGAGGATTGTCTAAATAGTCCTTAACAAATCTGGCACAGGATGTCCTGCTTTCCAAACCTCTCGTTGTTCATGGCAGAAGGACCATGGAATGTAGCATGGTGTACACAGCCTCCGTCCCTGTATCTGCAACAGAGCTAACTTAGCAATAGGACTGAGACAGCCCAGGGCATAGCAGCGGGCTGCAGTGTATATCCAGTGTATAAGCATTTAGGACTGAAAGGTAAAAATTTGAAGGAAGGGTCTTCAGACAAACTGACTGAAAAGGCCTCCAAGTGTTGAGACGTTCGATACCATCCAAAGAATATAGATTTCATCCCATCAGAGATGCTGCAAATACTGTGAATGCTTATTAGGATCACACTATCCAGTCAAAGGTGCTGCAAACACAGTAAATGCTTATTAGGAATGTGCCATCCAATCAGGGAATCTCTGAAATAAACACATTTATAAAGCCCGTAATGACAGATGGCAAAAATGAAAAGGACACCGAAACAGAAGAAATGATGTTTAGGAAAACCTGCCTGAAGCCAAGAGACCTCTTACCTCATACAGACTGGGAAACCCAGGCCCAGAGAGGTGACGAGGCTTGCGCAAGATCACACACCAGTTAGAAGCTGAGTGGGTGGCACTGGGAAGGTGAGGGGTCCTTTGGGAAGAGCCCCTGGCTGTGACTCCTCCCAGCCGCTGCCCTTGCCAGGGGCTCTGTGAGCCTGCTGCCCCATCTGTAAGATGAGGCTCATGGTGACTGACTGCTGCAGGGTGATGTGAGCATAAAATAACCTCTGGGGTATGAGGCCCTTAGCCCAGTGCAAGCATGTAGCAGTAGAGTGTTAGGTGCCTGATTTAAAAAAAAAAAAAAAAAAAAAATACTGCTGTGGAGTTGATATCTCTGCCCAGAGTGAGGAAGGGACCAACCCAAGGTCACTTGTCATCAGGCACAGCGGTCCCAGGCTCCTGGGGTCAGGCCAGACTCTGTCAGTGATTAATTGGCACCAGATGGTTGCTTAGCAACAGAATTAAACCAGGTGATGCTCTTTTCCATCAGAGGGTCTTGGCATAAGAAGGCCCAGTCCCCAGCAAATTTGACTCTTAAAAGAACGTGACATTTTTAAAACAAAGATGCAGAATTTTTTCCTAATAGTATTTCACAGGCAGATCAGGTGCTTGGTTCCATGCCCATGTATGTGCTTCCCATGAAGGGTAATGGAGTTAAGTAGTTAGCCTTTGGGAGGGTGGCTGCTGGTAATTAGTACAGATAATAATTGCTCTTTGAACGTCAGTACCAGTATCAGTTGCCATAGAATCGTCTCTGACTCATGGCAACCCCGTATGTGTTAGAGTAGAATTGTGCTCCAGAGTTTTCAATGGCTGATTTTTTTCAGAAGTAGATTGTCAGGCCTTTTTTCCGAGGTGCTCCTGGATAAACTCAAACCTCCAACCTTGCAATAAGCAGCTGAGCACGTTAACTGTTTGCACCACCCAGGGACTCTGTGCTCTTTGAATAGGCCCTTATGATTTCTGAAGCATCTGTATCTTCATTTGATCCCCAAAACAACCACATGAAATACACGTTGTCCCATATTAAGGATGAGGAGGCTGAGCTCACTCTGGAAATGTGGGCTCGAATTCAGATATGCCGACTGAGACTCAGTGCCTTGCACTGCACTGCCGCTTCCTCCCAGCTGCCGGAGGGGCTGATCCGGTACCAGAGGTTCAGCCCAGAGTCACCAGTTTGACCTTGCTGCTGCCCTGTACCTGGGATCAGCCAGAGGCTGCTGGTCGTCTTGCATTTAGCCCATGTGCTGACTGGGCACGCGGATGTGTGCTTTCTGATAGGACAGAGGACCTATTGGCTCAGGCTTGGAGGAGGGCATCAGATGAACAGGTGAGGGAGGGGTTAGCATGGGGAGGGCACAGCAGGGCCCAGCAATAGGGGAGGAATGGGGGTCCGGGCCCCCACTGAGGAGCTGGACCACAGGGGCCAGTGTGAGAACGTCCTGGTGGGTGACCACCTTCTGGAGCTGTCTGCAGGTCTGGGCAGAGGTGACTCCCAGAATCATATTTAGATTGCTTCTTATTTGAGAAGGAAGGTAAAAATTGACACTGGCTCTTCGGGTGAGTCCGTGACTTTGCTGTGGGCACAGCTGCTCATGTCTCAGGAGTCCTCTGTTTTTTGGAATTATCTCACGGCTTGTGTTTAGTTTTTAGAAGAGAAGAATCATCCTTTCTCTTTTTAAAATTTCATGGGAATCCAGAATCTTCTAAGACCACATAATATTCTGTTACACTTGAGAAAGGAAATCCCAAAGTTTGGAATGCATGAAAAATGATTGCTGTATCAGTATAGGAGCACTGGTGGCACAGTGAATAAGAGCTCGGCTGCTAACCGGCAGTTCGAATCCACTAGCCATTCCTTGGAAACCCTGAGGGAGTTCTACTCTGTCCTGTAGGGTCACTATGAGTTGGAATCAACTCCACGGTGATGAGTCTGGTTTTTTTTTTTTTTCCATCAACAGGGGCCCGGGGCAGTGGTATGCTCTCATTTGCATTTTTTTTGGCCAAATGGCCCCCCAAGAGCTGTCTCTGAAGCGTTTTCAGACAGTCCTTGGTGATAACCCAGAGCCCTGGTGGCACAGTGGTTAAGAGCTCGGCTGCTAACCAAAAGGTCGGCAGTTTGAATCCACCAGCCACTCCTTGGAAATCCTGCAAGGCAGTTCTGCTCTGTCATATAGGGTTGCTATGAGCTGGAACTGACTTGACGGCAGTGGATTTTTGGTTTGGTAATAACCCCTCCAGAAGGGCTGTGGATTCGCCGTTGCGTAGGTCTCTTGATTATTAAATTGCTTCTAAGAAGTGGAACATTTTTAAAGCGAGGCTGTGCCGTTACACCCTTGTGACTTTTCTGTTATATTAAACCTTTCTATGGTTAACTTTTCAAATCTTTGTTTACCCAGATGAGGAGAAAAGACGACCTGATATTTTCCATGCGTTGAAAATGGGTAAGCGCTTTAGAAAATCTTTTTGGGTATTTAAGAATACAGTGCCCCATTCTTCCAGCCTAATGTTTGCAATCCTTTTCAAGGCCACCCAGAGGATTTAAAAGAAGCTGGCATTTTGTTGTTCCCTAAATCTACAGTTTCACCCAGAGAGTCTCAAACTCTGGAGGATGGTATTCATGGTGCTCGGAATGTAGAATCCAGGTCTCCCTCCCTGGCCCCTCCACCTCTCCACCCAAACCCTGTAGCTGTACCCTGGCTTTTTCCTACGCCCCAAAATGCCTCGCTGCCCACCCACCCACCCACTCTAATCCCTGAGTGATGAAGGGCTATTAGCCAAAAATTTACTTTCCTGATGTAGTCCCCACCTCCAGGAAGCCCTCCCTCATTCCCACCCCCAGCAAGTCATGAGCTGTCCTGCATGCACATTGCCCTTTATCTACTTTATCTGTTAAGACACCAACACTTCTGTCGTTTAGTAAAGCTATATGTGTACTGGAGTACCTACGTGGCACAAATGGTTAAGTGCTTGACTTCTAGCCAACAGGTTGGCGGTTCAAACCCACGCAGAGACTCCTTGGAAGACCGGCCTGGCAGTCAGTCTGCTTCTAAAAGGTCACAGCCTTGAAAACCCTATGGAGCAATTTCTCTGCATACATGGGGTGACCATGAGTTGGAATCGACTCAAGCGCAACTAACCAAAACAACATTCATGTACTTGTCTCTGCCCTTCATAGACTGGGAGATTTAAGAGCGGGAGCTATTTCTGAGTCATTTTTGTAGCCCCCACCATGCCCAGCAGCCCAGCACAGAGGAAGGCTCTGGAAGTGTTTGTTACATGAACCAAACGAATAAAGTCGGCGGTGCCAGGCCTGTGGATCACCAGGGTTCCTGCTTGTGTTTGCAGGAAACTTCCAGTTGGTCAAGGAGATTGCCGATGAAGACCCCAACCACGTGAACATGGTCAATGGGGACGGGGCGACCCCTCTGATGCTGGCCGCTGTCATGGGGCAGCTACCTCTGGTGCAGCTGCTGGTGGAGAGGCATGCCGATGTGGACAAGCAGGACAGCGTGCATGGCTGGACTGCTCTCATGCAGGCTACCTACCACGGGTAAGTGCCCCACGCCACTCCCACAGCAGGAGGCTACAGGGAGCTCGGCCTGAGATAGGGCCATACCAGGGGCTCTGCTGGAGATAAACTCCAGGGCCGTGAAGTTGTTGAGGCATGCAAAAAAGATTAAAGAGTACAGCTCATTATATCCTGCATCCCTACTCTTCTGTGTTTGGATTTCCTGTTACCCTTCCACAGAATTTGACCAATGACCATTAAAAACAATGCCACAAGAGTGTCTTAAGCAGACAGGTAAGTTTCTGTAGGTTGATGTCGGTTGAACAGTGATTGGTTCATTTGGAGTTTTCATATTGAGATCTAGTGGCCTCCTTAAGCTGCCCCTATATGAAATGAGGAGCCCTGGTGGTGCAGTGGTTAAAGTGCTCAGCTGCTAACTGAAACCCACCAGCTGCTCCATGGGAGAAAGATGTGGCAGTCTGCTTCTGTAAAGATTTATGCCTTGGAAACCCTATGGGGCAGTTCTACTCTGTCCTGTAGGGTTGCTATGAGTTGAAATCAACTCAACAGCAGTGAGTATGATTTTTTTTTGTTTTTATGTGAAATGAACTGATAATATTAGCCATACATACCATTGGCTTCTCTGAGACTTTTGATAGTGAGGATTGTGGTAACCCTCTCCTTTGGTTAGCAGCTGAGTGGTTAACCACTGTGCCACCAGGGTTCCTTCTCCTTTTGAATAAGCTTCAGCATTTACCTAGTTCTTCTGAATCCTTTCTCATCTGATCTTCCCAGCCGGGTGGGGGCCTTTCTCCTCCTGGAGGCATCCTTGGGGCGGGGCTCAGGGAGTGTGAGAGATCCACACACAGTCTCCCAGCTGCTAAGTAATTGGACTTCAAATTCAGGGCTCTTTCTTTTCCCCGTTTCTTAGTTTCCTAGTGCTTCTGTAACAGAAATACCACAAGTAGGTGGCTTTAAAAAACAGAAATTTGTTTTCTCACAGTTTCAGAGGCTGAAAGTCCAAATCAGGATCTCAGCCATGTCGATTCCTTCTGTGAACCTCTCTCCTGGTTTCTGGCATCTGCTAGCAATTCTTGGTGTCTCTTTGCTTGTGGATGGTCCTCACATGGTCCGTCCTCCCCCTGTGTGTGTGTCACTGTGTCTGTTCTGGTCTTTTTATAACTCAGAAGTGATTAGGTTTAGGACCCACGCTACACTGGTATGACCTCATTAACACAAGAAAACTCCAACGTTCAAACAGGACTACATCCACAGGTACAAAGGCCAGGAATTCAACACATATTTTGGGGGGACACAATTCAATCCATAACACTCTGCTTCTGGTTGATTATATCACATCCCTGCATCATCTGGAAGCAGTTGTTTTTCTCATTTGGCAAGTCTCAAACTTCCAACATCTTGGCCTGTATGAGGCTTCCACGATGAAGGGTCCCAAATGGGGTGGGAGGAGTGGGGCCTGCATGTGGTTCTCAAGACCCAGTGATTTTGGGGCAGAGTCTCTGGTTTTCTTTATATCCATGGGAGGAGTATTTAGGCTTGTTTAACTGACATTCACATATGACCTATTGGAGTGGCAGGGAATGAGAGAGTGCTTGCAATTTTCTGTGCCCTTCTTAAATGCTCAAGGACTCAGAGCTATAGTTAATGCTGTCAGTCTTGTTGCCCAGGGGCAAGGCTATACTTTTGCTGTCAGTGGTTGTAACTCTGGCTTTTTCTTTCTTCCCCAGTAATAAAGAAATTGTCAAATATCTGCTAAACCAAGGTGCTGATGTCACTCTTCGTGCAAAAAATGGATACACGGCCTTTGACCTAGTGATGCTGCTGAATGATCCCGGTGGGTTATTTCAGGAAAGGTATTGTAGTTCCACCCAGCCTTTCTCTAGCTGGGACTCCAGATACCTCCTGCCTCTGTTAACCGTGTTTGAAGCACTTGCTTATTCAGGGGAGAAAGCCAGTTTCAAGTCCCAAGAGCTTACCACGTGGCCTTGGACAAGTCACTTCCCTCCCCAGTGCAGTGCTGGGCTTAGACCGGGCATTGCTCAGGCTTATTTTGGCACTAACCTTCTAGGCGTCTCCAAGGAGGCTGATGAGATGTGTGTCTGGCTTTGCAGTGCACTCAAGTCTGCTCGAGGGATATCTGTGCTTTATAGCCAGCATCTGAGTGCCCCAGGAGGCACTTAAAGGCCTCTTTGACCAGCAGAAGCAGAGATAGAATGTTGTTGCCTTCAGCTTAATTGTGCAGGTAGAGGGTGGAGGGTCACGGGTACCTGCTGGGACATCGCCATTATCGGCCTCACCTCTCTTAGTCCTTGCCTGGCCTCTGCTGTTTCCCTTTGACCCTTACTGTGACAGGCCCTCTCCTGGGACCTGGGGCTTCCACTTAGCCAGCCCAAGAGGCAAGGTCTCTCTGTTCTGTAATCTCTCCTGTTACCCTGGAGTTTTAGCCCAGAGAGAGGAGAAGCTGGGAGGCCCTCTGACCCAGAGGCTTTGAATCCAGTGCCTAGATCCCCACCTGCTAGCTATCGAGGGAGGAGTTTTACCTCCCCAGTCCCGAGTGAGGTCCCTCTTGTGCTGCTCCATTGCCACTCATAGCTAAGGGAGTGGCAGGCCCCTCATGCCCCTCACTTGTTGCAGGCCCCTTACCCATCACGGGTACACACTTGGTTCCATTTGAACCTCTGGAGATTTACGAGGGGAAGAGGAGCTTCATGTTCTCTTTTAGAGATGAGGCAGCTGAGACTAGGGGGAGTGACTTGACCAAGGGCACCAGCTAGAGAGTTGGGGGTCCTCTACCCCATGTCTAATACTTCGTTCGGCCTCATCGGGGGCCCGTTTCACATGCCAGGAGTTGACATTTGGAATCAGAGTTCCCCAGCGACCCTGGCTGGATTGCACACACGTTTTTTCTGGTAACTCGTCTCTTTCAATATGTCTTTTCTTCCCAGCTTCATTCCCAGCTTCCTACTCCCTTTCCCAGTAAGACACTCTACCCCTAGTGGATTTTTTTCCCCTAGCAGGTTTTTTAAGTGAAGTTTATGCTCCTAATTATCAAAGAAGCACATGTTTATTATTGAACACTTGGAGAGGGAGAAAAGGAAATAATTGTTGAGAGAATAACACTCTCAGATATACAGTTTGGAGTATTTTCTGCCGTCTCTCTCTATACATATATTAATTTTTTATTGTGCATTAGGTGAAAGTTCATAAGATAAATTTTTTTTTTTTAATTGTGCTTCAGGTGAAGGCTTACAGAACAAATAGTTTCTCATGAAACAGTAGTACACATATTGTTTTATGACATTGGTTAACAACCCCACAACATGTCAACCCTCTAACTTCTCAGCTTTTTTTTTTGTGAAAATACACATAGCCAAAGATACACCATTTCAAAAATTTCTACATGCACAGTTCAGTGACATTGACTACGCTCTTCCAATTGTGCTGTTATTCTCACTTAAGATGAAGGCTTACAGAACAAAATAGTTTCTCATTTAACAGTTACTACAGATGTTGCCCTATGACAATGGTTAACAATCTCACAACACATCAACAATATCCTTACCCAACCTTGGGTTCCCTATTACCAGCTTCCTTGTCCGCAAAGCTCAGTAGTTTTTGATGCTTTCTTTTTAACCTAGCTGAGTTGATGGTGACTCGTAATCTCTAACCTTTCTTAAGCACTTACCATGTGCCAGGTACTCTTAAGTACTCTGCAGGAATCCCCTCTAACCCTGAGACAGCTTTATATGGTGGGTCCTAATGTCATCCCTGTTCTGCAGAGACACCGATAGGCTGCATAGTTTATCTGTGATTGCACAGCCAGTGAGTAGCAGAATCTGAACCTGTGCAGTCTGGCTGTGGAGCGTATATGTTTGAATGTGCTACCCCTGCCCTCCTGGTGGAAGAGGGCTTCTGGTCTTCATTCTGGATAAGCAGGCCAGTGACAGCCCAGCCAGCCTCTCTTTGCCACCTTTTGAAGACCAGACGCAGAGTTGCTTACCATCTTTACATTCTGGAGGGAACACAGACCCTAACATAACACAAACCCTGGAGCTGCAGGGCTGAGTTCTAAGGTTGATGGGGATCGTCTTGGGTCCCCTGCCCATGGCCCGACAGTCATATTTGCAGGTAAAATGCTGCCTTTTGTGTCCATAGACACGGAACTTGTTCGACTGCTGGCATCTGTCTGCATGCAGGTGAATAAAGATAAAGGCCGGCCCAGCCACCAGCCACCCCTGCCCCACTCAAAGGCCAGACAGCCCTGGAACATCCCAGTGTTGCCTGATGACAAGGGCGGACTTAAGGTTTGCTTTTCCTATCTTAAAGGGCGTGAGGTTCAGAGAGCCAGGGCCAAGGAGATGGGGGTAGGGGGTGCCTACCACTTCCGGTTAACTCAGGGCTGCTGGCGGGGGGGGTGGTCCCAGTGTGGGAGGGAGAATGTGAGCTGGGAGTGAGCAACAGGGCATGATGGGACTGGCTGGTGCAAACTGGGGTGCTGACAGTGGCAGTGGTGGCGTGGTTGCTTCACAGGAATGTGCGTCCATGTGGCCCGATCTTTCCATGTTTTTCAAGAGAAACCAGAAATCCAGATTCTGATATGAAATCTCCGTTTATAAATGTAGGGAACTTATTAAAATTCCTTCCAACTTTAATTTTTAAAATCTCCTCCCAGGCGACCTATTGTGGCCTCTGCGTTAGTGTGTAGGAATAGTTGCTGATTACACTGCTCCAGGATCCCCTGCAGTCCACTGACCCCATCACCTTCTTCCTAGAAACCCCAAAGCAGCCTCTAGTTGATCATTTCTAACTGCAAGCTGAGTGTTCTGTTTGCTTTTCTGGTCTTCTCCATTCTGCTCTACTTGTATAGAATCAAACTTAGCTTTTTCTTGAAAAAAATGAAACAAAAAACCACGCCTTTTCTCCTGACCACCCCATTGTGTCTGGGGTCCCAGCACGCTTCTCTGACCCGCACACTTGGCATTCCTTATGCGCCCATCACTCACACAGGCTCTGGGATTCCTCCTCTGGTGTTGTTTACATGTATCCCTTCATCCTGTCCTCACTGCCGTCCCTATAGGCGAGGCCCTTACAGTCTCCATAACCTCTGAAATGTCGTAGGGTCATGGGGTCAGCAGGACACCATTCTCTCTGCAGTTGGGGTGGGGCCAGCTATAGGAGCAGATGACCAGGCCTTGGTGTGGGTCCCCTGACATCTCTCACGTTGTCACTGGGATAGGCGGAGGGAGGTTAAGAGGTGATAGATGTTAAGGCATTTGGAGTTGCCTCTGCATCCGTCTGTCTTTCTCTGTTGTGCCTCAAGCAAGTTGGCACCCAGGTCTGGGTCTCCGTTTCTCAATCTGTGTAGTGAGGATATTAAGTAGACAAGGGATGGCAAATAGGTTTTTACTGCCACCTGCATTCTATTGGAAATGGCCATCTGGTCAGGAAGGATTTAGAGGCTAACTTCCTAGCTTCCTTCCCAGCTTCCTACTCCCTTTCCCGATAAGGCACTCTACTCCTAGTGGATTGGGAAAGGGTGCTGTGATCAATTGGCAATGCCTGCTGTGGGCTCAGGAAGGGAGGAGAAGCGTGTGTGCAGTGTATCACCACCCCCCGGCCCGGTGCCTCCTCCAGCTCTTCCTGTAGAATGACCTTTGCTTTGTGTTCCCTTGGCAGTCCTGGTGGAACCGCATGTCCAATCGGTTCCGGAAGCTGAAGCTGATGCAGACGCTGCCCCGTGGGCTGTCCAGCAACCAACCTTTGCCTTTCTCTGATGAGCCTGAGCCGGCGCTGGACTGCACCATGAGAGCAGCCCCCCAGGACAAGACCAGCTTCTCTAGGCTCCCCAGTGTGGCCCCCACCACCAAAGGCAGTGGTAAGGAAGGCTGCACTTATGGGAGAGTTCCCAGAATGGTCCAAAACCCCTATCCTTTGCCCTTTGTCCTTCCTGGATACGCAGTACTGGAGCAGAGTGGCTGTGCTGGCAAGGAAGAAAGAGACGTAGGCAGGGGCTCAACCACTGTCAGTGTGGTAGATGGGGAAGCACCAACCAATAGGTGGAGAAAACCACCTATCAAATGAGATTGGTCTCTGGCATTACCTTAGTTGGGGTAATGAGTTCCCCATTACTGGAGATATTCAACAAACTGGATGACTTTTGCCAGGGCGTTGAAGATTCCCATGCTGATTGGGAAGTTGATTCAGTGTGATTGCTAATAGCAGTCGGTCAGATTCTCCTCACCCACACTGGCTCCTCTGGCACCACAGTTGGAGACAGATTATTGAGCTGGGTGTCCCACTGTCTGACTCATCACGGCAGTGGTTTACGGAAAAGTTGAAAACATACTCAGATACCTTTTAAATGCCTTCCTTCTGTTAGAATATTGAATACCAATTATTAATAAATATTTAATCACCTAAGGGAGTTGGTTTTCCAGGATGAAGGCTGGCCTGGTCGCTCATCCTCATGCCGTGGACATCTGGGGAGGTTATTTCAGAAAACTTCCATTTGTCTCTCAGGTCCTGGGAGCACGAGAGGAGAAAAGGAAGATGTGTTATTGACAACCATGGTGAGTGTGGAGTTTTCTAAAAGCCTTTCGAGTCCCCAGTGCACTCCAGCTGATCATTAGATGATTGATTTACAAGGAGACATGTGGACGCTTGTCTGGCTCTATGGTGGTCACAGCTGGGGTTAATGATCCAAACGTGTAGCAGTGGGCAGAGGTCGGGTACAGCTGGGGCATTGACGAATCAGAGCATGTGAGGCTGTGCTGCTGCTTAGTGGCTGATGTAAGCCCTGGTCACATTCCCAGGGGAGGCAGTGCTGGGACAGAAAGATTGAAGGGGAAGTAGTTGCTGGATGACAGTGGGCAGGAAGACTCATCATTTTGGTCATGGAGAGCCAGGGAGAAGCATCAGAAGAGGGCATGCATTCAGACTGAGAGAGGCCTCGGTTTCCTAATCTGTACACTGGGGATAGACTGGGATTAGGTTAAGCTGTGAGTAACAGAAAACACCCAAATAGCAGTGGCATAAATAAGAGAGATACTTACTTTCTTTCAAGTAAATAAAGTTCAGGACTGGTACAGTGCTCTGTGGAGTTAGGGACCCTGGTTCCTTCTATCTTATTGGTCAGCCATGCATGGCTTCTAATACCAAGGTTGTCTCATGGCCCAAAGGGGAGGGGAGAAGAGGCAGCCGTACACATATGCCAGCTGTCTTTTAAGGAAGTTCCCTGGAAACTGCCACACATGGCTTCTGCTTCCATCTCGTGGGCCAAGACTTGGTCACATGGCCACATCACACTGCATGAGAGACAGGGAGGTGAAGTCTTTGTTCTAGGTGGCATGTGTCCATTTAAAAATCAGGGGTATCATTACTAAGGAAGGTATGGGAGAGGGATACTGGGGAATAGTTAGCAGTCTCTGACTTAGGGGCAATATCCGTCATGGGGTGGTTGTGGTTACTAAATGGGATCATCCCCAGGAAGTTCTTAACATAGTGCCTGGCCCAGGATAAGCTCTCAGTTATTTTCTGGGTGGCCTTGGATATATTACCTCACCTCTCTGGGCTTTGCTTTCCTCCTCTCTGAAAGGAAAGCCTCATGGATGGAGACTCAGGTCCCTTCATTGATGAGACGTTACTTTGGAAGCTGGCCAGGAGAGGGCAGTGTTGGAGAAGAAAAGGGAACAGAGGCAGTCACAGGGCAGGGATAACCAGAATCAGGGCTGTATTGCTAGGAATTGCAGAGCTCAGCATGTGGACCAGGATCAGCCCCACCATACCCCACCACCAATAAGGGTAAATCGGGGTCTCTACACACTGACTGTAGGAACTTGTACTGCCAAACATTTGATAATGCTGTTAAATGAGTAATTACTTTCAGTATAAAGCTAGAAATGCTATTGTTGAAATTTCAGAAAATCCAGGAAAGTATAAAGAAGAAAAATAAAATCACCTTTGATTCTATGCCCAGGTGTAATCATGAGTGATACTTTGCTGTGTTTATCTTTTGAGTAATTTTCCTAAGTATTTTCTAACATGCAAATATGACGTTATGTTATATATGTTATACCTGTCAGCCACTATTTGAAACACCTTGCGTATAAACTCTTTTAATCTGCAGGATGTTGTTGTTAGGTGCTGTTGAGTCGGTTCTGACTCATAGTGACCCCAAGTATAACAGAACAAAACACTGCCTGGTCCTGAGCCATCTTCACAGTCTTTTTTGTTTGTTTGTTTATTGTTCAAGTTTGTTTGTTTTTTTTTAATTGTCGTAGTTTAAATGAAGTTTACATTTCAAGTTAGTCTCCCATACAAAAATTTATACATACATTGTTACATGACCCTAATTGCTCTCCCCATAATGTGACTGCATACTCCTCCTTTCTACCGCTGATTCCCCATGTCCATTCAACCAGCTCCTAACCCTCTCTACCTTCCCATCTCACCTCCGGACAAAAGCTGCCCATTTAGGCTCTTGTATCTACTTGAGCTAAGAGGCAACACTCCTCACGAGTATCCCTTTATGTCCCACAGTCAGTCCAATCCCTGTCTGAAGAGTTGGCCTTGGTAATTGTTTTAGTTCTGGGCTGATAGAGAATACAGGGGCTGTGCTTTCTGGGGTTCCTCCAGTCTCAGACCATTAAGTCTGGTCTTCTTACTAGAATTTGAGTTCTGCACTCCACCTTTCTCCTCCTCTTCACAGTCTTGTTATGCTTGAGGCCATTGTTGTAGCCACAGTGTCAGTCCATCTCCTTGAGGGTCTTCCTCTTTTTACTGACCGTCTACTTTACCAGGCATGATGTCCTTCTCCAGGGACTGGTCCCTCCTGATAACATGTCCAAAGTATGTGAGACAAAGTCATGCCATCCTTGCCTCTTAGGAGCTTTCTGGCTGTACTTGTTCCAAGACAGATTGGTTTGTTCTTCTGGCAGTCCACAGTATATTCAGTATTCTTCGCCAACACCATAATTCAAAGGCATCAATTCTTCTTCGGTCGTCTTTATTCATTGTCCAGCTTTCATATGCGTATGAGGCAACTGAAAACACAATAGCTTGGGTCAGGCACAACTTAGTCCTCAAAGTGACATCTTTGCTTTTTAACACTTCAAAGAGGTCTTTTGCAGCAGATTTGCCCAATGCAATGTGTCATTTGATTTCTTGACTGCTCCTACCATGGGTGTTGATTGTGGATCCAAGTAAAATGAAATCCTTTACAACTTGAATCTTTTCTCCATTTATCATGATGTTGCTTGTTGGTCCAGTTGTGAGGATCTTTGTTTTCTTTATGTTGAGGTGTAATCCATACTGAAGGCTGTAGTCTTTGATCTTCATCAGTAAGTGCTTCAAGTCCTCTTCACTTTCAGCAAGCAAGGTTGTGTCACTTGCATATCGCAGGTTGTTAATGAGTCTTCCTCCAGTCACGATGGTGCGTTCTTCTTCCTGTAGTCTAGCTTCTCAGATTATTTTCTCAGCATACGTATTGAATAAGTATGGTGAAAGGCTACAACCCTGATGTACCCTTTCCTGACTTTAATCCACGCAGTATCCCCTTGTTGTGTTTGAACGACTGCTCTTGGTCTGTGTACAGGTTCCTCAGGAACACAATTAAGTCTTCTGGAATTCCCATTCTTCACAGTGCTATCCATAATTTGTTATGATCCATACAGTCAAATACCTTTGCATAGTCAATAAAACACAGGTAAACACCTTTCTGGTATTCTCTGCTTTGAGCCAAAATCCATCTGACATTAGCAGTCATATCCCTTGTCCAACGTCGTCTTCTGAATCTAGCTTGAATTTTTGGCAGCTCCTTGTCGATGTACTGCTGCAACCGCTTTTGTATGATCTTCAGCAGTTTTACTTGAGTGTGATATTAACGATACTGTTCAGCAGTTTCCTCATTCTGTTGGATCACCTGTCTTTGGAATGGGCACAAATATAGATCTCTTCCAGTCGGTCAGCCTGGTAGCTGTCTTCCAAATTTCTTGGCATAGACAAGTGGGCACTTCCAGTGCTGAATCTGTGGGTTGAAACGTCTCAGTTGGTATTTGTTCAATTCATGGAACCTTGTTTTTTGCCAGTGCCTTCAGTGCAGCTTGAACTTCTTCCTTCAGTACCATCTGTTCTAGATCATATGCTACCTCCTAAAATGGTTGAATGTCGACCAGTTCGTTTTGGTACAGTGACTCTGTGTATTCCCTCCATCTTCTTTTGATGCTTCCTGCTTCATTTAATGTTTTCCCCATAGAATCCTTCAATATTGCAACTTGGCTTGAATTTTTTCTTCATTTTTTTCAGCTTGAGAAATGCCACATGTGTTCTTCCCATATTGTTTTCTATCTCCAGGTCTTCGCACGTGTCATTATAATGCTTGTTCTCAAGCCGCTCTTTGAAATTGTTCGTTCAGCTCTTTTACTTCATCATTTCTTCCTTTTGCTTTAGCAATTCTGCATTCAAGAGCAAATTTCAGAGTCTCTTCTAACATCCATTTTGGCCTTTTCTTTCTTTCCTGTCTTTTTAATGACCTCTTGCTTTCTTCATATATGATGTCCTTGATGTCATTCCACAACTCGTCTGGTCTTCGGTCATTAGTGTTCAGTGTGTCAGATCTGTTCTGAGATGGTCTCTAAATTCAGGTGGGATATGCTCAAGGTTGTACTGTGGCTGTCGTGGACTTGTTCTAATTTTCTTCAGCTTCAGCTTGAGCTTGTGTGTCAGCAATTGATGGTCTGTTCTGCATTCAGCCCCTGGCCTTGTTCTAACTGATAATATTGAGCTTTTCCATCATCTCTTTCCACCGATGTAGTCAGTTTGACTCTGTGTATTTTATCTGGTGAGGTCCACATATATATTCTTTGTTTATGTTGTTGAAAAAGATATTTGCAACAAAATCTTCAGGATAGTTAATTTTTCTCTTCCGCATATTGTATTGGACCTCATTTTTTAACAATCTATCATAGTCATCTTTTCCATGTCATTAAACATCCTTTGTCCCTGGGTAGCACAGTTAAGTGCTCGACTACTAGCCGAAAGGTTGGTGGTTCGAACCCACTCAGAGGTGCCTTGGAAGACAGATCTGACGACCTGCTTCCAAAAGGTCACAGGCTTGAAAACCTTATGGAGTGGTTCTACTCTGCACACGGGGTGGGTCGCCATCAGTCAGAATTGACTCAGCAGCAGCTATCGACAACAAATATTCTTTGGCCACATCATTTCCTTGCTGCATTATTCAGCATTCCATCATGGGGGCATTCCCTCACCTCTTTATCCAAGCCTGACCTGTTAGACTTTGGGGTTTCTAGTGTTTTGTTCTTTTAACAGGGCACTGACAGATGTCCTTATGCCTCAGCTTTCCCTACTTGTCTGATTATTTCCTCAGAATAGCTATCTAGACATGAACTTCTTGGGTCAAGGGTATGCACGTTATGAAGGTTGCAGTGATTTAGACTCTCACCCCTGGTAGTGAAAATGCCGTCTTCCAGTCCAGCCCTCCATGTGCTGGATACAGTTGCTGCGGTCCAGAGAGGGGCAGCACTTGTTCACGGACTTGCACTAAAGCAGGACAGGCTCAGGTGGGAACACAGACACCTGCCCCTCCCACCCTAGCACTCTCCTGTCCTGACTCCTTGTGCCCTATAGAGGGCACCAGTGCGCCTGCCCATTTGCCCGTGGCAGATGGTGGATGGCCAGGCACCTGGCTGAGTGGGCCTTTGCAGCCATCAGCGCCGAGATGCCTGCCTGCCCAGCTCCTGAGGCAGGTTTAGCTGTGGGATGCCCTTCCCCGCAAAGCTCCATCTGGCATCGAGTTCATGGTCTTTTCTTAATTAAAGCTAGTGTGAACTGTATGAATGCAGTTCCTTGATGATCACCATTCTTCATGGTGCAGATTTTATGCTGACCCCAAATCACATTTCAAACATAAAATTAGAGTGAAATGTCAGCAGTGGGAGGTGTGGCTGGCGTTGGGGAGAACATGGTGGAATGGAGAAGAGTGTGTGTGCTGGGCTCACAAGGCCTGTGAGAACTGGGCCTCCAGCCCCCTCACCTCCTGCTCCTTGTCTCCGGCCTTTCTGCCTTTTGTCTGGCGTTCCCTCCTCCAAGGTGCCCTCTCTGACTGCAGCTGGGGTGCCCCTCTTCTGTGCCCTCCAAGCCTCCTGAGCCCCCCGTCACAGCACGCTGCAGCTCTCCATCCCACCTGCCCCATCCTGATCTGCTGCAGCTGGGAGTTGAAGCAGAGCAGGCGTGGGTATTGCTCAGTTGCTGGGAGAAGAGCTGAGGACACTGCTGTGGTTTCTGGCTAGGTGGAAGGGTGGGTGGTGGTACCATTCTCTGAGAAGCAGGAGTCTTTCTCCTGGAGCCTGGAGCCCTCATGGGACTTGTCTAACCCACAGCCTGTCTTTTTCAGCTTCGAAATGGAGCTCCTTTCACCAGACTCCCGAGCGACAAGCTGAAGGCAGTCATCCCCCCTTTCTTGCCCCCTTCCAGTTTTGAGCTATGGAGCTCTGATCGGTCCCGGACATGTCGCCATGGGAAGGCTGACCCTGCAAAGACTGTGCTACCCCATGGACCCAGCAGGGGCCACGCCATGGGTGGCGGGAGCACAGACACTGTAAGTCGTTTGCTGGCACGCTTTAAGCATCCAGGAACCCAGAGAAGACCAATATGACTGGAGCAGAGAGAGTGAAGGGAAGAATGGAGGAAGGCTGAGTTGGAGAGGAGTGTGACCAGGAGCACTGGGCACCAGGGGCAGGGCTGGGGAAAGGCTTCACGAAGCAGTGACTTGGGGCTAGGCTGCAAAGGACAGGGAGAGGTACATTCAGGGTTTGGAACCAGTAGGGGTGGCAGCATCACGGAAGCAGGCTCGGGCAGTGCCAAGGGGGCTGGATTTTGTCCTGGAAGTGACAGGAACCTTCTGAGGTTTTTCAGGAAACAATGTGGTCAGGTTTTCTCAGCACTAGAGTTGGGTGATGCAATGGTTAAATGCTCAGCTGCTAACCAAAAGTTTGGTTTGAACCCACCAGCCACTCTGCAGGAGAAAGATGTGGCAGTCTGCTTCCATATAGATTAAAACCAAAAAAACTCTTTGCCATCGAATCAATTCTGTCTCATAGCAACCCTATAGGACAGAACAGAACTGCCCAAAGGGTTTCCAGAAGCAACTGGTGGATTCGAACTGCTGACCTTTTGGTTAGCAGCCGAGTTGTTAACCAGTGTACCACCAGGGCTCCTCCATAAAGATTATAGCCTAGAAAACCCTATGGGGCAGTTCTGTCCTGTCCTATAGGGACACTATGAGTTGGAATCGACTCAACAGCAACAACCAACAACAAAGAGCTGGGTGAGACTGAAAGCAGGGTGACCTGTGGGGAAATGATGATGTTCTAGGAGCTCAGCCTGAGAACTGTCTAATGGCTGGGTTGTCAGCGGACAGACAGAAGCCCCCACCCCTTCGTGACTTCAAGTAGGCTGAGCGCCTGTTGGCAAGGATGTGCTGGGGGGTGCGAGTGGAGATCGGGCTGGCAGAATGCCAGGGTCCCTCCACACTGTGACTCTGAGCCTGGAGAAAGGAACAGCAAACCCTGACAGTGCCACCCGCCTTATTCTTGCAGGCTCCCATCAGGCCAGTTAAATTCCCAACTCTCTCCAGAAGCCCAGCGTCTCCTGCCAATTCTGGAAACTTCAACCACTCACCTCATTCCTCAGGCGGCTCCAGTGGGGTAGGGGGCGTTAGCAGGCACGGTGGGGAGCTGCATAATCGCTCAGGTGGGTTTCAGGTTAAGAGATGACTCAGGGGAGGGGGAAGATCCCTTGGGGCCGAGAGACTCCCCCTTTGCTCAGTCTGTGGATCATCCCAGAACTGACACACATGTGTGTCTTTCTCCTTAATGTGGCTAAGGGATTTTTCAGTGGGGTCACTACTTGGGGTTCTTTTATGCATTTTCTTTGCAGGAGGAGGACTGAGAGGGAGGAAATAAAATCCATAATGCTTTATTTTCTTGTAAAACTTTATAAGAAATTAAAAGAAATGCATGGTGTTCTTATGGTGTTTAAAAGCCTAGAAAGTAAAATGTTAGCTTCTCATCCGGCCCTTTCATTGAACAGATAGGAAACTGAAGCTCAGAGTGAGCAAGAGCTTTGCCCGGGGTCATGCAGCAAGTTTGTGACAGTTAGGACTTGAACAGTGCCACATAGTTATGTTACAGTTAAAACATAATTCTCCATCCTCCCTGAGATTGTCCAGGGTTAACGTAAGCCAGCTTTACAGGGAGGGCACCCCTGCTTTATGTCATTACATGAGGAATGGATGCTTCCTATGGAAAAAAAACTTTAAGACCAGATAAACAAAAAAGGTATAATCTCACCCACTAGGTATCATCGTTAACATTTTGGTATATATCTTTGCAAAGTTTCTTTCTGTGCATATTATGAATATTTATAGAAGCAGAATAATAATGCATTGAGCACTTAGTACATGCCAGGCACAGTGCCAGGGCCTTCCCATAAATGATCTCATTCAGTCCCCCAACAGTCTGAAGGTTATCATCTCCATTTTGCAAATGAGGGAACTGGGGCCCAGAAAAAGCTGAATAACTCACCTAGGGTCCCACAGCTATTAAGTAACAGCCAGGACCCGAACCTAGGCAGTCTGACTTCAGAGCCGGTTCTCTTAACCACATGCCTGACTGAGGTGCAGAATGTTTTGTCACTTTTCCACACATTAGTATATGGGCAACACCTTGGTCGCTATGCATCAAAATTGACTTGACGGCAATGGGTTTTTCATGTTGATACACATATATCTACAGCATCTTTTTAATAACTGAATGGTATCTGTTCATATGAGGTATCACAGTTTATTTAGCCACTTCCTCCGTGTTGAACACTGAGGCTGTTTCTAGGTCTTTGCTCTTATAGATAAAGCAGTACTAAGTAACATCCTTGGACCTCCATATTTGCCTAGTTGTCCAATGATTTTCCTAACATAAGTTCCCTAGGATCAGGATGGCTGGGTCAGTGGGTTTGCCTATTTTTGAGGCTTTTGATGCATTTTGCCTTCTGGAATGGCTCTGTTTATACATATAAAATATTTACAGTCCTGCGTGGCACAGAGTAAATGCTCTGTAAACATTAGTGTCTTATTAGCATCTTCCCACTGGTGCCCTCCCTACTTCTGGGTATTATCACTTTTCCCCTTTCATAATAACTCAAGGTTGTTAGTAGACTTGGGGAAATGAGAGGAAATGCCAGTCAGGGATGCAGAACCATTCTGAGTATTATGGTGTTAGGAATTTACAATAGAATTAGACCTTACGCGATTATGGGGTAGCTGGGGACGTAAAGGCCCAATAGGGGGCGCCAGAGGGTGAGGGACAGTCACTAAGCAGCACTGGTGCGCTGGGTGACTCCGCAGAGGGGCTGCTGTGGAAGCTAGGACGGGCTGCTGTGTCTGTGCTGTGGAGGGCCAGGGTTGCTGTCAGTTAGCAGGGCAGGGAGTTGGGAAGAGGAGCTAGACATTACATGGGGAAAAGCAAGGACATACGTGACCAGGACACCCTTCAGAGTGTGGCAGCCGCCCCTTCACTTTTATCTCTAGTTCTCATGCAGAATTCTCTTGTGGTCAGTCAACCCTGACCTGAAGCCACGTGGGAAGGGGGCTTGTGACACGTGGTCCCAGCGTAGCCAAGTCAGCTCATGACAGCCCACCACCCCTGCATTGCCAGTACTTCACACCCATGGCAGCCATTCCTGTTTCTGTTTTCTCAGGTGGCAGCATAGATAGTGTCTTGTCCCAAATTGCCGCCCAGAGGAAAAAAGCAGCTGGATTATCGGAGCAGAAGCCCAGCCAGCGGTCAAGCCCTGTTGGGCCGGCACCAGGGTCCAGCCCGTCAGAGCTCCCAGTCTCCCCAGCAGGGGGCAGTGTTCCTGGTGGCAAGGTGCTGTTCTGTGTCATCTCTTCTTGCTACACTCAGATTGCTTCCTAACCTGGCCCTAGGTGCTAAGGGACGTGGGTGGTGGCATGTTGTGGGACAGAGTTAAAGACAGGCTCCTTCCAGCTGGCCACCTTGGGATTTTTGAGAAGTGTCCATGTGAATCATGTGGACATCACCAGGAGCACACCTGTGCTCTGCACGGTGTGTGCGCCTCCCGCCTGGTCTCCAGGGCATCTCCAGGTCAGGGTGGGTGGGGGGCATCAGGCTCCTGCAGCCACTGTGGTGGTCACTGAGCCTCAAATTGTGCACATTTGTGCATTGAGTAGAGCAGAATGGTTTAGAGCATGGACTCAGGAGCCAGCCTGCCTGGGCTCAAATCCCGGCCCCACACTTTAGCATTTAGAATGGGGCCTGGCACATGGTAAGCCCTCTGTAAGCATGAGCTAGTATTGCCGGTATCATTAGTAAAGTTAGTACTTCTGCCCTGTTCATTCATTGTGCATATGTTTGAGCATCTGCTCTGTGCCTGGCCCTGTGCTAGCAGCGAGGACCCCACTGTCCAACTGTGAACCAGGGGTTTTTGTGACCACCCTGGAGGTGTTCACAGTCTAGTGAGGGATGTCTCACTCGGTGTGACAGGGGCTGTCATGGAGAAGTGAGGATGCTGTGGGGCACAGGCAGGGGTTCCTACCCAGGCTGAGAAGATGTCCCTACCCACATCTAGACAGGGATCTGAAGGATGAGGAGCCAGATGAAAGGGGTGGGGGTGGGGTGAGGGGTGGTAAGACTGTTTAGGGTAAGGGAGCAGCATGTGCAAAGCTCCAGAGAAAAGCTCAGCATGGGGAGAGCTGAAGGAAAGTCTGTGGGATGGGGCAGAGTGGACAGAGCCTCACCTCTTGCCTCTAGACAGCATGTCTCCATTGCTGCAGCCTGAGTGTACATTTGCTCTCTTGCAGTCATCCATTGTTAACGCTTATGGAGTTTACAGTGGACGAGAAATGCCTCTCTGGAATAGGAAAGTCTTTTAGTGTCTGTGGAATCTGCCCCTCCACCTCCTGAGGCCCTCTTCATTTGTTGATGTTCCACTGGGTAATGGGGTGAGCCCTGGGGTATGGGCACTTAGTTGTGAGTGTGAAGCAGCTTCTCTACCCCCCAACAAATGTCCCCCGGTAGCACAGAGTAACTCATTTCTTCCTCTGAAAGGACCTCAAGTCCAGGCAGAACCTCACTCTTCATCATACGTTCTAGATGTCTTAAGCTTCTCCCTGAGAAAAGTAGGTCCCCGGAAAGCTTCATCCCTGAGCTTTTGCCCACCTCAGAAGTACCTCCAGAAATTTTTGTTTTAATCGATGAATGAAGAATATACATTTTTTATTTTCTGCCCAACCACTGTTGGGATACCTGATCCTTTTTGTTTTTCAAAGTCCCTAATGCAATAGGACCTATTAGGTTCCTTTTACACTTTAGCTCCAAAAAAACTTTCTCTCTCCCTACATATCAGCGTACTTTCTGTTAGGTTCAAAATTACTTGGTTAATGAGACTATGTAATTGAGCTTCTTCTAGAATTCAGCTCTAGGAAAACATGTCTCCACTGATACTTTGATACGTTTTCTTTTATTAGATAGTAAGAATTACATAATCTGTTATATTTCTTTTTTTGCGTTTGCTGCTAGGAAACTCAGAGCTACTCATTAAAGTAAGTCTGCTAGTCTGGGGCTTTGATCGTTTTCCTCTTCTCTGTCGTCTAAAAGTTTTTGTTTCTGTTTTAATGATCTTAGATATGTTAGATATTGCTAGCTTCCTTTAATCGGTGTTGGAAATAGGTAGGCTAGATCTGAGTTATAAATTATATTAACTATTACCTTGCTTGGATACATCTGTCATATATAATCTATATACAAGTATATTCTGATGAAAGGAAATTGAGTTTGTCAAAAGATGCATTCAGGAAACAATAAACTGGGGAAACGATCCATTTCAACGATCACCTGATATTCTTAACGTAATAACGATGCTGTAACCTTGGGGAGCTATTTAAAAATTCAGGTTTTTGGGCTCCACCCAGGCCTAACTGAATTAGACTCTGAGGATGGGGTCTGGGGAATCTGTTTTTTTCCCCCAGAAAGTCTACTGCAGCCCAGCCCAGGGCTCCTAGAAACCACTGTCCTAAATCAAAGGACACAGAAGTGGGTTTTCTGTCAAAGGCTCTAGCAGCAAAATGGAGACAAGAAGTGCTTTTCAGAGACTCCCTTAGGAAGAATTAGAAATTAGTATTCAAACTATATCGTTCCAATATTTCAGAGAATCCCAAATAATTTTATATTTACCCGCTCCTCTTCCCAGTATCCAGAGTTATCATGTTTCTTTGCTTTTCACTGGAGTGGATCCATTTTGTAAGGATATACTAGTTATTTCTTGATAATGATAGAAAAAGCAGAGGGAAGAATTTATTGATAGCACAGGCATCTCATTGAAAAGAACCTTTCAAAATCTGAGGGACTACTCTGGAATGTAGTCAGCTGGAAGGAGGACTAAATGCCTAGCAGAAGGAAAGGTTTACCTGTTTCCAGGTATAAAAACTATTTACCTTAGTCTCTACTATCCTACAGGAGAAACTCGATTTTCAGCAGAAATTGTAAGGCATTTGAAAAGGCAAGAAAAAGCACACTCCTAAGAAACAGAACAGTCGTCAGACTCAGATATGACACAGATGCTGGAATTATCTAACAGGGAAATTAAAATAGCTACCATTAATATGTCGAAGGTTCTAATGGAATAGGTGGACAGCATTAAGATCATATGGGTAATTTCAGCAGAGTGATAGAAACTGTAAGAAAGAACCAAATTGGAATGCTAGAAATAAAAAACACAGCAACAGAGATGAGAAATGCCTTTATGAACTTAGCAGTGGACTTGACACAGCCAAGGAAAGAATCAGTGAACTTGAAGGTAGGTCAGTGGAAATTACGCAAACTCAAACACACACACAAAAGAACAGAACACCCAAATGTTGTGGGATAATATTGGTGTAACACTCAGGTAATTGGAATCCCTGGAGGAAAAGGGAGAGAGAGAGAGAAAGAATGCTACAGAAGGAATATTAAAATAAGTAATGACTAAGACTTTCCCAAAATTAATGACAGATGCCAAACCACAGATCTGGGAAGTTCAGAGAACACTGAACAGGATAAATAATAAATACCAAATAGGAACACCCTAGCCATATCATATTTAAACTACTGAAAACAAAAGACAGAGAAAATCTTCAAGAAGGCAGCCAGAAAAAAAAAAAAAAAAAACCTGTTCCCTGTTTTGGATGTCTGTTTTAATAATTTCTGTCCTCCAGGTTGTTGCTTATATGTGGGTCTTACTCTCTTCAGCAGAAATTAGAGACAAGCCAAAGGCCTCAGTCTGGAACGTCGACTACCTCCAAAAGCACCTCCCCCACCCTCACGCCCTCCCCTTCACCCAAAGGACACACTGCCGAGTCCTCGGTGTCCTCCTCCTCGTCCCACCGGCAGTCCAAGAGCAGCGGGGGCTCCAGCAGCGGCACCATCACAGATGAAGGTGAGTCTCCCGGGTCCTGAAACCCCACTGGGTGACCTGGGAGCAGAGCTGCAAGGGGCCCTTAAATACTATAGCATTCCTAGGTCAGGTTTTTTTTTTTTTATTTAAACAAACAAGACTGTCCTCCCTTCCCTGATTCTACCTTACATTTTTTGTCTTCACTGTGCTGAAGGAGGGAGCTATGCTAAGTTCCCTGAAATACTTTTAGTGTGTAGATGAATTTTGTTTACATGCATAAACGTGACACCTGTGGAAATGCTTCCCTAACACTGTTATATACCTTTCCCTGAACCTGCGCAAATCAGGATCCTTCTAGCTGCAAGTAATGAAATCTTCACTCAAACTCGCTTAAGAAAACAAACAAAAAGATAATTCATTGGCTCACATAATGGAAGTGTCCAGGGTATGCTTCAGGCATGTGTGGATCCAGGTGCTTTGGGACTGTTTCTCTCCATATCTCAGGCAGGCTCTCTCTAAGTGGTGGCAAGGATATCCACCAGCAGCTTCAAGCTTACTCCCTCTTCCTACTAACTTAGCAACCCCAGCAGAAAGAGTGCCACTTTCTCAGTAGCTCTTCAAAATCCCAGGGGTAAAGGTCATGGCCTAGCTTAGCTGTATTTGTAAGGTCTTGGGTCATTTGCACATCCTTGACGATATCAGTGTCCATGGCGGAGGAATGTGCTGATTGGCCAGACCTGAGTCATGTGTCTGCCTTTGGAGCTGGAGTCGGGGTCTGCCCTGCTGACACTGTGGGCTGCAGGTATGAGAGAAGTGATTCCTCAAAAGAAGATTGAGGTGCTGCTTCCAGAGGAGGATGGGGAGGGTTACTGGGCAAGCAAAAGCAGTCGGTGTCCACCACACCCAGGAGAACTTCGGAACCTGTGCAAGCCCCTTCTGTGAGAATAATGAGAAAAAAAAGATGGGGGTGGACGTTAGGGCAGAAGGAGGGGCTTTGAAGCAGCGGCCCAAGAAAAATTAAGAAAGTGGAACAAAGAATCCCATCCTTTGAACTGCCCTCTGGGGGCTCCTGGGAGCTGGAAGGAGGGAGCTGAGCTGCAGTGAGAGGTGAGGCCCAGACAGGTGCAAACCAAGGAGCATAAATCAGAGGTTGTGGGCGAGTTCATGGTGCATGTCATCCGCACAAACCATATTCAAGCTTCTTGTTGCAACTGCTGGGAGAAAGGTGCAGAGCAGTTTCTGCCGGGAAAGTGATGAAAAGTTGAAATCAGTTGCACAGGCTCCAGTTCACTAAGTTGATACACGTGTGTTGCTGTGGGCATCCTCTCTGTTTGGCAACTGCTTTTATCATTTTATGACATCTAGCATGATCATTTATAAAGGCAACGTCATTCCTCCCCAACCGTGTTTCCTGTGTGGGGTCTTCAGTTTCCTACTCACAAGTCTCCTACTTCTGAAATTTCCAGGAATTAAACCCCTAAAGATTCAGTTAGGAATTTGTACCCCCTATTTATTTAAAAAAAAAAAAATTGAGACTGAGTATATCTGTATGTTAAGTCCTGGGTGGTACAGTCGTTTAAGCGCTTGTCTACTAGCCAAAATGTTGATGGGTTGAACCCACCCAGAGGCGCCTCGGAAGACAGGTCTGGTGATCTGCTTCTGCGAGGTCACAGCCACTGAGCAGTTCTACTCTGAAAACACATGGGGTTGCCATGAGTCAGAATCAACTTGAAGGCAACTGGTGTATCTGTGTGCATGCTCATTCCCCCTCTCTTTCCCTCTCATTTATTAGAACATATATATATTAAAGAAAGGTTTGCCAAGCCCTAATTAGGATGAAGAAAAAGAAGGACGCAGCAGCAGTTTTGTTTTAGATTCATTTCTGGGGCTTGGAAAGGTGGCTTTTCCATTCTGGAGTCCCTGGGTCATGAGTTAGCCAGACCTTTGCCTTGTGGACATGAGATTGTCATAGAATGGGACCGCCACCCATCCCCAAACAGCTATTCTTCTAGGTGTGTAACCCCATTCGATGATAGTGTGCAGGCCTTTGCCCTGTCTTTCCACCTGTGTCCCTCTCTCTGGACTTTTCCTGCTGGAATCAGAGAGGCTCATGATGGATGACATTACCTTCTCAGTCTCAATTCATTTCATGAAGGTTTTTTTTGGCAGCCACTGGGGGCTGTAACCTGTGCTAGGTATTTGGGTAACTCACAGTGTGTGCCCTGAGCAGTTCATAGTCTAGTTGGGGAGATAGATGCATTCAAAATAATAGTATTAAGTGACTGTAACTCAAGATCGAACCAGACCTGTGTTCTGAGCAAAGCACAGTGTGCCATGGACAGCTTCACTGAAGAGCAGGCCTCTGGGCTGGGCCATGAGCTGAGAAAGAGATGGGCAGTGCTGTGCCAGAGCCGGCCCATGCTGGCTCACGAGAAGCTAGTTATTAAGTATAGTCGTTATTCGAAATTAAATTATACGAACTTGCAATGAAATAATTTCATTAAACATTTGTTGTTTTTAGGTGCCATCGAGTCGGTTCTAACTCAGAGCAGCCCTATGTAAAACAGAACGAAACACTGCCCGGTCCTGCACCATCCTCACAATTGTTGCTATGTTTGAGCCCATTGTTGCAGCCACTGTGTCAGTCCATCTCGTTGAGGGTCTTCCTCTTTTTCACTGACCCTCTACTTTATGAAGCACGATGTCCTTCTCCAGGGGCTGGTCCCTCTTGATAACATATACAAAGTACATGAGACAAAGTCTCACCATCCTTGCTTCTAAGGAGCATTCTGGCTGTACTTCTTCCAAGACAGATTTGTTCATTCTTCTAGCAGTCCATGGCATATTCAATATTCTCCAACACCATAATTCAAATGCATCAGTTTTTCTTCACTCTTCCTTATTCATTGTCCAACTTTCACATGCATGTGAGGCAATTGAAAATACCATGGCTTGGGTCATAGTCCTCAAAGTGACATCTTTACTTTTGAACACTTTAAAGAGGTCTTCTGCAGCAGATTTGCCCAATGCAGTATGTCGCTTGATTTCTTGACTCCTGCTTCTGTGGGCATTGATTGTGGATCCAAGTAAATTGAAATCCTTGACAACTTCAGTTTTTTTCTCTGTTTATCATGGTTTTGCTTATTGGTCCAGTTGTGATGATTTTTGTTTTTTATGTTGAGGAGTTATCCATACTAAAGGCTGTAGTCTTTGATCTTCATCAGTAAATGCTTTACGTCCTCTTCAATTTTAGCAAGCAATCGTTGCATATTGCAGGTTGTTAATGAGTCTTCCTCTAATCTTGATGCCCTGTTCTTCTTCATATAGTCCAGCTTCTTGGCTTGTTTGCTCAGCGTACAGATTGAATAAGTATGGTGAGAGGATACAAGCCTGATGCACACCCTTCCTGATTTTAAACCATGCAGTATCGTCTTGTTCTATTCAAACAACTGTCTCTTGGTCTGTGTACAGGTTCTGTATGAGCACAATTAAGTGTTCTGGAATTTCCATTCTTTGTAATGTTACCCATATTTTGTTATGATCCACACAGTCGAATGCCTTTGCATAGTCAATAAAACACAGGTAAACACCTTTCTGATATTCTTTGCTTCCAGCCAGGATCCATCTGACATCAGCAATGATATCCCTTGTTCAGCGTCCTCTTCTGAATCTGACTTGAATTTCTGGCAGTTTCCTTTGATGTACTCCTGCAACCGTTTTTGAATTACGTTTGGCAAAATTTTACTTGTATGTGATATTGATGATGTTGTTCAGTAATTTCCAGATTCTGTTGGATCACCTGTCTTTGGAATGGGCACAAATAATGAGTATCTTTCAGTCAGTTGGCCAGGTAGCTGTCTTCCAAATTTCTTGGCATAGATGTGTGAGCACTTCCAGCTTTGCATCTGTTTGTTGAAGCACCTTGGTTGGTATTCCATCGATTCCTGGAGCCTTGTTTTTCATCAGTGCCTTCAGTGCAGCTTGGACTTCCTACTTCAGTACCATTGGTTCTTGATCATATGCTATCTCCTGAAATAGTTAAATGTCAACCAATTCTTTTTGGTACAGTGACTGTGTATTCCTTCCATCTTTTGATGCTTCCTGCATTGTTCAGTATTTTGCCCATAGAATCCTTCAGTATTGCAACTCGAGACTTGAATTTTTTCTTTAGTTCTTTCAGCTTGAGAAATGCCAAGCGTGTTTTTCCCTTTTGGTTTTCTAACTCCAGGTCTTTGCACATTTCATTATAGTAATTTGTCTTCTTAAGCTGCCTTTTGAAATCTTCTGTTTAGCCCTTTTACTTCATCATTCTTAGATTTGCTTTAGCTACTTTACATTCAAGAGCATGTTTCAGAGTCTCTTCTGGCATCTGTTTTGGTCTTTTCTTTCTTTCCTGTCTTTTTGATGACCTTTTGCTTTCTCCATGTATGATGTCCTTGATGTCATCCCCCAGCTTGTCTGGTCTTCAGTCATTAGTGTTCAGTGTTCAAGACTGTTCTTGAGATGGTCTCTAAATTCAGGTGGGATGTGCTCAAGGTCGTACTTTGGCTCTCGTGGACTTGTCTTAGTCTGGAAGCACCACTGAAACCTGTCCACCATGGGTGACCCTACTGGTATTTGAAATACGGGTGGCATAGCTTCCAGCATCACAGCAACACACCAGCCACCACAGTAGGACAGACTGACAGACGAATGGTAGAAAATATTAAACATAGAGGTATATTAATTAAATTAAAAAGGAAAAGTATTATTTACTAATTTTTTTTTTTTACTTCATATTACAATTATCTGTGCTCTTGAGGTTATTTAGTCTTCTGCATCTGTATGGCTGGGATACTATATAATGCTGTAGTTCTTTCTAGTATATGTCTATCACAAATCCACCTACAGGGACATCACCTTGGTAGCTTGAAATTGGCCATGATTGGGGTGTTTACACCATGGCAATCATCAAACTCCACCAATCCGGGCCTGATTTATTGTTTTGGAGATTGCCTACTCATAAGAAAGTGATGGAGAAAATATTAATGATGCATACACTTAAAAGTGTTGTCACATCTATAGCTATTACATTGTGAATAGCATAAAAAGTTGAGGAGATATTCTTCTGGTATTTGAAAACCATTATCTGACTCCAAAAAGTTGTTCACGTGACATTCTAATATATATCTTTGCTGTTTGATTTTTGTCTTACATGTTCACGTAAACAAAAGTCTCAGAGTGGCAGAATGGAAAAAAACCCCACGATTTGTCTGTATGCTGCCTACAAGAGACACACGTTAGACTTAAAGACACAAACAAACTAAAACTCAAAGGATAGAAAAAAAATATATTAAGCAAACAACACTCAAAAAAGAGCAGGAGTGGCAGTATTAATCTCTGACAAAATAGACTTTAAAATCCACAACGGATAAAGAAGGTCACTATATAATGATTAAAGGATCAACACACGAGGAGGACATAACTATAGTAAATATTTACGCACCCAACAACAGGGCTCCAAAATACATAAAACAGACTCTAACAGCACTGAAAAGAGAGAGAGATAGCTCCACAGTAATAGTAGGAGACTTCAACACACCACTTTTGGTGAAGGATAGAACATCCAGAAAGAAGCTCAATAAAGACACAGAAGATCTAAATGCTACAGTCAACCAACTTGATCTCATAAACAAAAGTCTTAGCCAGCCTTCATGTTGAAACTACACTTGTTAACTATGGATACAAGAGTTGGGCAAAAATCAATGAAAGCATTCTGTGAGAATTGACTGTCTGGAATTTACGATAAAGAATATTATATACTTTATTACTGTTTGTAGATTATGTTATACATCCTTTATATTGGTAAATTTACAGTAAACGTATGTGCCTGTAAACGTGCATACATTTTCCCCCAGAGAGCCAGTTGTTAAACACTGTGGAGAAAGCCCTGTATCTGGAGAGAAAGCAGGAGCAAGGGTTAGGCATCACGAAGGTGCAATGGATTTTTGTGTGGAATGGAACTCGATTCATCTCACACATATTGGCTCAGTAGCAGCTTTTCTGTGAAGCCTTCCCTAGTCACTTGGGCTGGGCCAGCTGCCCTGTCTGTCCCCAGAGTTCCTGTTGGTCCCCTTCACCATACCACTGCTCACTGATGAGAGGTGATGGAGCTTCAGAACAGACCCAAGAGCTGGGCTTGAATCCCTGCTCTGCCATGAACTAGTGGAATGTCCTCACCCAAGATAGGGTGCCTAACCTTCCAATGCCTCACCATCCTCATATGTAAATGGGCACAGTAATAGGGCCTGCCTCATGGGTTTGTTGTAGAGACCAAATGAGTCATCCACGTCCAGGGTGCCTGATGGTGAGCGTTGTGCATTAGCTTCACCCTGATCGTTGTCTTCCTGGCCGCACTGAGCGCGCCTTCCTGGCAAGGACCTTTCCACCTTCGATCCGCAGCTTGCAGTAGGCTTGTTGGTAGTCACTGTTGAATGAATTAACTAACAAGAAGGAACCCAGGCCTCCTAAGCTCCAGTCCACTCTTTGAATTGTACCCACTGCCTCAGGGCCTTTCCACTTGCTGTTCCCGATGCCTGGAGTGCTCTTCTCAAGATATGCGTATGGCTCAATCCTTTTTATTTACTGCTTTAATGTCACCTTATCACCTTCTGTAAAGCAGCTTCCACTTCTCCTCTGTTATCCACCCCTACCTGCTCTGTTCTTCCTCTCTGCATTTGCCCTAACAGCCTGCTCACTGTCTGTTTTGGTCCCTGCTGAATCCCCAGTGCCTACTCTGGTAAATCTCTGTTGAATGTGTGAACGTGTATTTCTTCCAGCCCCCCAGATGCTGGTCTTGTCTCCTCCTTTCTTTATCCTCCCCGCTCTGATACCTTGATACCCAGAACCTGCTCCTGTTTTCCCCTGGTCTGTGCCGTCGTGGGGAAGCCCACAGCCTCTGCACACCTAAACCAAACACCTGACTCTGCTCTGAGGCCCACCTGCCTGCTCTCTTAGGTTCTGTCTCTGACGAGCTGAGGACTTGCTGGTGTTAATGTTTGCTTCAGGTGCTGCAGCCAGCAGTCAAGAAATCGTCATTTAAAGACGTTCTTAGAAGAAGGCAGTTTTAGTCTTAGCAGCTGGAGTGCCAGCAGCTTGAGGGTTGCAGTCTTTGGGGCGTCAACCCTGGCCGTGACCTCCCACCCCTCTTTGCAGCCTAGTTTCGGGTTTCGGGAGATGCCAAGGGCATGTGTGGATGGGAGAGTGTCGCTGACAGGCAGCTCAGGGCCCGCCTCTAGCTTCCTCCTGCAGAGGAGGAAGCTAGAGGTGAGATCTGCTTAATAGGTTGAGGTTCCTTGTAGGGCTTCATTTGAAATAAGATTATCACTGCTTATGTATGAAGGTTTGAAGACCATTCTTTTGATATATTTTACAAGATAATAAAATGTGGTTGTTCTACATCTGTCTCTCTTGAAGATGAGCTGACTGGAATCCTTAAGAAATTATCGCTTGAGAAATACCAGCCCATTTTTGAGGAACAAGAGGTAAGGATGCTTTTTTTGAATGTCAATTTAAACCTTACTACAAAACGAAACAAAACTTTTTATCTTAAGTATGTGGGTTTTCATTCTGCATGCCTAGATTGATCCTTTCCACTGAGACAGCTGAGAAAATAGAAGTTGTATTCAGCACATTTAGGTAGGTCATTGCAGTGAAATCCTGGGGACCTTATGGCTTGTTTTGTTGTAATAGAGTTTTTTAGTTTGCAATACTGCTTTCTCTAGTAAACTTTGTATCTGTCCTGCAAACATTTTCGCTGACAAGGATTGACTGGGAGTCCAGGTCAAAAGCAAATCCTAATGAATCTCTCGTTAAATCTCTGGGTCTAGGGTCAGTGTTCATCTGAGGGTTCCCATTTGCTTAAGAAAGCATTCAAAATTACATTAAAAAAATTTACTGTTCCTGGAATTTAATAGTTCTGAAAATGTTAAGTTACTCTGTGACCCAGCAGTTCCATTCTTAGGTATATACCCAACAGAAATGAAAACATTTGTCCACACAAACACTTGTACACAATGTTCATAGCAGCATTATTCATATCAGCCAAAAGGTGGAAACAACTCAAATGTCCATCAACTGGTGAATGGATTAAAAAATACGATATGTCTATACAATGGAATATTATTTGACAATAAAAATGAACAAAGTACTGATACATGCTACAACATGAATGAACCTTGAAAACATTACATGATGCTAAGTGAACAAAGCCAGTCCCAAAAGGCTACGTGTTATAGGATCCCATTTGTATGAAAGGTCCAGAATAAGCAAATCTATAGAGACGGAAAGTAGATTGATTAGTGGCTTCCCAGGGGTGGGAGGAGGAAGGAGTGGGTGTGACTGCTTAATGAGTATGGGGTTTCTTACTGGGGTGATAAAAATATCCTAAAATCAATTGTGTTGATGGTTGCACAACTCTGTGACTGTACTAAAAATTATTGTCATGTACTTAAATGGGTGAATTGCATGGTGTATGAATTATATCTCAATAAAACTGTTTTAAAATGTACTGTTTTGGATAAATAAAAACAGCACTGCAGGCCCAGTAATCACTGGTTAAAGACGCTGCTGTGTCCAGCTCAGTACATGAACGCCTCATAGTTACCGCAGCAGACGTTAGAATCACTCATTGCCCCTGGCAAGCCTGAGATCCAATTGAGGAGTTTGTATTTTTGTTCAAGAAATAGACGAGAGGCACAGTGGCTTTCTTTATCAATTTGCTTTTCTGTCATATCCAGTCTGTTGTCCCTGCCTCCTTGACATTTTAAAATTCAGCAGTGATTTTTCGTATCACCAAGAAATCTTCCCTGCTCACTGATGGCCATCTGCTGCTCTTGTTTTATATGTCCTGTGTTCTCTTGGACCTGTGGTTGGTGTCTTATTTATGAGACTTAAGTATTGTCCATAAGGGCAACTTCCCATTTGAGGAGGGTTCGGGCAAATGACAGAGTCCCTTGATTCCTAGAGAAAGTCATGACATGTTAATAAGGAGACTACTTCCCTCAGGAAAAGCCCATGAGAAAAACCAGTGGATCAGGCAGCTGCAATGCCTGAAAGACAGTGTGGCACTGTGGATAAGAGCAGGGCCTCTCGAGCCCATGGCCTAGGTTCAAATCCTGGCTGTGCCACTTACTAGCCGTGTGACACTTCGGGTGCTAAAAAAATCTCTCTGTGCTTCTGTTTCCCTGTGTCTAAAATGGGGATAATAACGTGAAGATTAAGTGACAATCTCCATAAAATGCTTAGAAAGTGCTTTGCACAGAGTAAGCATTCGCTCCTGTTCTCCTCCTCCTCATCTGACAGTGAGACTGGCTTCCCAGTAGGTGTGTGGGATTGGATTCTGCCTGGTGAGGAGACCTCTGCCCCCTGTGTCTGAGATGTCATCCCATATACAGGGTTGTGGGTGTGCTTGCTTTGTCCTGCCACTTTCACCCGTCCTTCCATCCTGACTTGGAGGGGCAGAGAAGCTGCAGCCTGTAACACTGTGTAGCAGGGAGCCCTGCTGGCCTTTCTGCAGGAGCAGAGATCCTGGTTTGGGTATCCAGAGCCCAGCAGGGATGAGAGAGCTGTTAGAATTCCACCTGTAGAAACCAAGGACCAAACAGCTTGTGAGTTCTGAGCCCTTCTCCACCTCTGTGCTCCATGGCTGCCATTTCCTTTATTGCTTCTGCTTGTTTACTTTCTCATTCTGTCTTTCCACAGTCTGCGTCTCTCTTGTTCTCTTTGGGGGAGACATGGTGAGTACCACCATATACCCACATTTTTCTGTGCAGTATCCAATGTTGTTATCACTGCAATAACTTTGAATTAACTTTGTAATAGGAGGACATAGATCTTTACCATTCTAGCCACCCAGATCATGGCGACCCCGTAAGTGCAGAGTAGAACTACACTCCATAGGATTTTCAAGGCTGTGACCTTTTGGAGGTAGATTGCCAGGCCTTTTTCCGAGGCACCTGTAGGTGGCTTTGAACCACCAGCCTTTTGGTTATAAGCTCTGTTGGTGCAGTGGTTAAGAGCTCAGTTGCTAACCGAAAGGTTGTCAGTTTGAATCCATCAGCCGCTTCTTGGAAATCCTATGGGGAAGTTCTACTCTGTCCTGTAGGGTTGCTATGAGTCGGAATCAGCTTGATGGCAGCTGGTGGTGGTGGTGGTAGCCACTCAGACTTCCCATGTTTCATTTTCAGGATTTTTCCAAAATACATCTATTTTGATAACCCAAGGGCTAGAGCTGAGGACAGTTAGTTTTTAATGAGATTTTTCAGCTAAACTTTAAACACGAAGTCAGGAACTAGAAGTCGTAAATAATAATTAACTCACTACTAATAAGCCCTAATAGCTCATAACCGTGGTATTTCTATTGTGGGTGGGAAAAGAGAGGTGTGGCACCAGGCAGATGGCAGTGAATCCCCCTTCTCTCATCCCAGGTGGATATGGAAGCATTCCTCACGCTCACCGATGGCGATTTGAAGGAGCTGGGGATCAAGACAGATGGATCCAGGCAGCAGATTTTGGCAGCGATTTCTGAACTGAACGCAGGCAAGGTATCGTTCTCAATTTTTCTTTCCTAGTTTCAAACAGTTGAGACCTTCACCTGGACCCCAGGCCCTCAGTGTTCTTGAGAGCCTTTGTGGTGGTCTGACGTCATCTCCTCTGATGTAGCTGACAGAGACCCCCCTTGCATGCTTCTAATGACTGAGCACTCATTACTTCTAGAGTGGCCTGTTCCTTTTCAGACCTCTTTTCTGGTTAGGTTGTTTCTCCACAGATCAAGCTGAAATTTTTCAACCCATAGGACTGGGTTCTGCCCTCCAGTCTCTGGAGTCAAGAAACCAGGTATCTCACTGTGTTACCTGGGGCAGCATTTTTGTCTAATGTTCCATTTCTCTTTCATCAGCTTTAAAGCTAGAGATTAGCACTGGCCCCCACCCAAAAGGCAAAACAGACAAAACAAGACAAAGCTAAGCATCACTCTGCAAACAGTAGTGTTATATGGCTGTGATTGGGGTATTCAGCCTCTTTTTCCTTATCATAATAAAGGATGAGTTTTTCTGTTTCTGTTCCAGCAACAGTGTGTAATACTTGCTAATCTGTTGCTTTTACACACTTTGCCTAACAGCTTTCCACTTGTTGGACAATAGTGTCATGACCGGAATTTTGCCATTATAAATAATACTATAATGGACATCTCTGCCGTTTTTCTTTTTTCTTCGCCCCTCAAGCTCTGTTCTACAATACAAAGTTGTATCAGAAATCGTGACCAGTTTTATGGTTCTTTTTATACATTGTCAGGTTATGCACAGAAATACTGAATAGTCCTATAGCGCCAGCAGCAAATAAGTGTTTATGTAGCACTTTATCATTTACAGGTCACATTGCATGCGTTTCCTCTGTTAGTCCTCCCCATGGCCCAGCCTCACACTCCTTGTCTGGCTGGTGAGGAAGTATGGGGAGGGGAGAGATGGGCCCCTGCCACATTGCAGGTGGACAGGAAAGCAGAACCTGACGTGGCCTTCTGACCCCTTCCCGCCATTCTCCCTGCTGCACTGCACTGTGTGGCGGCTCCTCCTAGCCCTGCCAGCATGGGCGTGGCTGTTTTTGTTGTGGTCTTCATCATCATCTTACCTGCCTACAGGCTGTGAGGTGGCCCTTCCCAATGATTTTGTCAGCTTTGCCTCTGGCAGTTGCAAGTTGAGCATTTTTCCTGTCATCTTTACTATTTGTTTTTTTCTCCTCTGAAATGGTGTGTTCCTAAACATCGGCCACCCCTGCTGTGGAGACTGGACTGCCTCACTTTACAGATAGGAAAGCTGAGGCTCAGAGATGGGCAGTGATCCCTGACTCCCAGACCAGGGCTGTTTCTGCTCCGCGGTTAGACATGAGGGGGCTGGGGAGGTACAGGAGGCGGGCGTGGATGGGCAGGTCTCAGCTGTTAGGAAGAGCATCACCCAGGTGGCTCACAGAAGGTCAGTAAACTAAGGCAAGCACCAAAATCTTTGGTGCCTTCATTTATTCATGCCATGCCCCAGGTGCTATGTGGGTGTGGAGCACTCAGAATCACCATGTCAGGCTCTGTGCTATAAACACGTCACATGTAGTCATTCATTTCATCCTCACGAAACCCACTGAGGTCGGTTCCAGTTTATGGTTGAGGAAACTAAGCCGCAGATTGATTTAAGGAACTTGCCCAAAGCCACACAGCTAGTATGTGGCAGAGCTAGGATGGGAACTCACAGTTTGTGTCCTGGCTACTACGCTATGCTGCCTCAGTGTAACCCACAAGCACACATAAAGGAGAAGCATGTGGGGCTGCGAGAGCTTCTGACTTAGAGTGGGGCCCCGAAAGGTGAGGGCTGTGAAGACGTTCCTGAGGAAGTGGCAGGAGGGCTGAGATCTGAAGGAAGGGTGGGAGCCAACTGGATGAAAGGCGTAGAAGGAAAGAGCAGGCCAGGCAGAGGGAAGCACATGTGCAAAGGCCCTGTGATGGTAAGATGTGCCTCAGCACAGAGAGCAAGAGGCCTGATGTGAGTGAAGGCAGAGAGGTGGGCAGGGCAGATTAAGGCTTCCAGGGTAGTCGAAGGTGACCCAGTCAAGTAAGGGCAAAGGGATGAGTGAGCAATGGTAGAGAACCGTGGCCCATGAGTTGCAGGACGCTTCCTCGTCCTGGCCTCCAGAGGCCATATGTGTGAACCAAAGAGAGGTTGGAGGTGGGGAAAGCCAAGTAGTCCAGTCAAGGAAGGAGGACAGAAACGGTTCCGGATGTAGGGGCAGTGAGGACCCTGGAGGGCATGGGAGGATATGACCAAGAGCTGGGTGCCATTCAAGCCTGGCCTGGACCTTGGCAGATGGTCAGTGCTAATGCTTCTGGAACCTCCCCCTGCCATCAGGGCCATGGCCTCCTTGGCCCAGAATCACAAAAAGAAGACAGACTGGGCTGGTTTGCAAATCTTAGGAAACTAAACTGCCATCATCAGAGTAGATGATGTGACATCTTAAGTCCACTCCAAAGGAGGTCATTTTTCTTAAAGTTTATACAGACTGGACTTTTTTTAGTTTTCTCCCCAATTCACTGCCCTCTAACTCCCTGCTTCCCTAACAGTCTGCATCCTATACTGACCTCTTCCCCATGGTCTCCCTGCTGTACTGGAAGAAGCAGAGGGCACACCTGTCAGTGGTCCTCCTTGGGGGCCCCAGCCCCCAACCAGAGATCTGGGTGCCTCTGACATGGTAGGCCAAAGAGACCACCTAATCCTGCCTCATCCTTCCCACATCAGCATCCGCCCTGCAAAGACAGATACTAGCGTGTGGCAGTGGGTGTGAGGGACAAGAGGCAGCCTGAGCCCTCACTGGAAAGACCTTGATATTCGGGGGTCGGTAGTTCCAGATAAAAGTGCTAGAAATGAAGATCATGTATCATAGCGTGTGATTGGGAGAAGTTCAATGTTAGAAAAATGAGCTTATCTCCTATTGCCCTAAATCTAAATTGTCCTTGCCACTGTGTGCAGGTGCTTAGAATGAGCCAAGAACTCAGGCCGAGTGTAACTTCCAAGAGCCCTTCTTACAGCCCTTCAGTGCCATGGGCCTCTGTACCAGGTTGGCCTGACCCTGACTTCAGGGTCTCCTGCCTCTTTCTGGATTGTTTGAGGGCACGAGCTTCCCCTTCTAAGGGTCACAGTTTTTCTTTCACAACCCAAGCTTGGCCAAGAGAGTACCCATTGTGGCTCAAGTGCTCTGTGCTCAAATTTAGATCCCAGGCCAGGACATGTGAGAGAGGGGAGGCCCGGCATTCCCTGCCTGCCAGTGTTTTTCTAGCTGTTATTGCTGGTGGGTTGTGACATCAATTTAGTGGGTCACAAAGAGTTTTAAATGAAATAGAGTAGAAAATACTAACATGCTTCATAGGTAGAGAGGGTAAAACTTGTTTGAGTTGTGATATAAATATAGAGAGAGAGAAAGGAAGAGGGTTGCAACATAAAATGCATTTCTTACACAATCAAAAAAAGTTTGAGTATTTTATCCTAAAAAACTTTTAAGTGAGTATTAAATATCTGACTCGGCCCTAAAAATATCAGCAAAGCTCTGTGGACCCTGAGCCTGTAAGTCACGTAACTTCGTTAGCCACTCTAGTGTTTGAGCACTAGGTACTGTGGGTAGTATTCCATACTGAGTAATATGTACTGCTTATTAGTTTGTTCTAAACAAGTTACGTATCAGAGAAGGATAGCACAAAGTGATCATTTTAGTTTTACCCTGAGTTGGTCCTAAGCCAGCTTTATTCTGTTCTCATTTTTCATGATCCTCAAAGCAGTGCATATTCATTTTACTAAACTTGCTCAGTACAAAAGGGTGAAAAGAATTTTTTAAGAAATCACTATCCAAACACCCAGAGGCCATCGCTGTTCACATTTGGGCAAATTATTTTACAGTGTTTTATGTTGCATGTTGTTTTTCTCACGTGGCTGAGATAAATTTGGATCTATAATTTTACATCCTACTTTCTTAACTTAACAGTGAATTTGTGCAGTTATCCATGTCTTTTTAATATACTAAATTTGCTTGGATGTACTAAAAATATTCTTAACTCCTATTTGTTAGATACATAGATATCCAAACGTTCTGTCCATAATGCTGCAGTGGACAACCTTGTGTATAAAACTTTCTAATTATCTCTTAGAACAGGTGTCTAAAAGTGGTATTTAAAAAAAAATTTTTTTTTTATTGTACTTTAGATGAAAGGTTACAGAACAAATAGTTTGTCATTAAACAGTCGGTATACATATTGTTTTATGACATTGGTTAACAACCCCACGACATGTCAACACTCTCCCTTCTCGACCTTGGAGGACTTTTTTTGGTGAAAATATACACAGCCAAAGTTACACCATTTCAAAAGTTTCTACATGTACAATTCAGTGACATCGATTAAATTTTTCCAGTTGTGCTGCTATTCTCACTATCCTTTTCCAAATTATTCCATCGCCATTATCTTCAACTCACTGCCCCTTAGGCTTCCCATCAAACCTTTCGAGTTGCTATTGTCAATTTGATCTCACATAGATAATTCTTTGTTTTTGTTTTTTTTTTGTACCTTAGATGAAGGTTTGCAGAACAGATAGTTTCTCATTAAACAGTTAGTACACATATTGCCCTATGACAATGGTTGACAACCCCATGACATGGCAACACTGTCCCTTCTCAACCTTGGGTTCCCTATCAGCAGCTTTCTCGTCCCTTCCTGCCTTCTAGTCCTTGTCCCTGGCCTGCTGTGCCTCATTAGTCCCGTTTTGTTATATGAGGCTGTCCAATTCCCTGCTGAGCGGTAAACTTCGGGAGTGACTTCACCACTGAACTAAAAGGGTGTCTAGGGGCCATACTCTTGGAGTTTCTCCAGTCTGTCAGGCCAGTAAATCTGGTCTTTTTTTTTTTGTGAGTTAGAATTTTCTTCTACATCCTTTTCCAGCTCTGTCCAGGACCCTCTGTTGTGATCCTGGTCAGAGCAGTCAGTGGTGGTAGCGGGGCACCATCTAGCTGTACTGGACTCACT